TCCTGGGCAAGTCACTTAACCCTGTTGGCCTCAGTTTTCTCATCTGTAAAGTGAGTTAGAGAAGAAATGGCAAACCATTGTAGTATCTTTGCCCAGAAAAACCCCAAATGGGGTCATGAGGAGTCAGACACAACTGAAAAGATTGAACAACAATAAAACCACAAAAGAAATCAAGGGAAGCCAGGAGGTAGAGAGAAGGAGGGAGAGCATGCCAGGCCTGGGGGACAGGCAGAGAAAATGCTTGGTAAAACATAGATGGAGCATCTTGTTCTTAATCAGGCACTGATCATAATGTGGTGATTTGTTGATTTGTTTATGCTTTATTTTATTTATGTTCCTGTTTATTTGTTTGTTTGTTTATTGCATTCTGTTTGGCATGAGGCTTGCCTCAAGCTGAAGTTGAAGAATCTATGTTTATTGATCCCCTACTATGTGTGAGGCAGCCTACTGGTCAGTGGGGACACCATGTTTCAAGGAGTTTACTGGAGAGATACTGCATGTTTAAAGATAAGGACAAGCAAACTGTACATAAAATAAACAGTGATTTTGGGATAGGGCAGGGACATGAACAACTAGGGATCTGAAGAGGGATGGTACCTAAGCTGAGCCTTGAAAGGAGTTCAGGGTGTCAAGAGACAGATTGTTGAAGATATGAGGTTCACAGCCTAAGTGAAGACATGAAGGTGGGTGATGGAATGCCACGTATGCAGAAAAGCTAATGACGCAGGTGTGCCATAAAGTACATAACAGGAAATACATCACATGGAAGTGGTTTGGCAAAGTAATCATGGAGCAAGCCTGGGATGAGCCTTAAATGCCAAAGAGAAGAGTCTCTATTTTATCCTAGAGGTAATGGAGACCATCTGAAGGATTGTGACAGGGTTGGACCTAGGTCTTAAAATGAGAAATTTGGCAGCTGTGTGGATAGTGGATTGAAGAAGGGAGAGAGACTGGGTGCGGAGAGAAACTCATGCTAGTCTGAGTGGGTGCAGGGATTTCAACTACGTGATACTGCAAGTCCTGAAATTTAACAGGTAAACATCTGTAGTCATAAAATTAGTAGGCTATTGCAACAGTCTAGGAGAAAAATGAAGAGGTTCTGAACTATGCTGGCTGACTGGGAAAAAGAGAATAAAAACAACATATGTTGAGGATATGGATTCAACAGGACTTGGTAGCTGATTAGATAGAGGGGATGAGGGAGAGGGAAAAGTCATTATGACTCCTAGGCAGTCAACTTGGATGACTAAAAGAATGATGGTGGCTTCAACAGAAACTGGGAAGCCAGGAAGAAGGGTAGGTGAGCTCAGGGGGAAAGAAAACAAGTTGTTTCTTGGACCTGTTGAATTTGGTATCCCTATGACAGACACATCCCAGTGGAGATGTCCAGCAGGCAATTGGAGATGTGAGACTGAAACCTTGGAAGAAAGACAAAGGCTGAGCATGTACTTGGTAGTCATCTATATGGTGTATGCATTTTATTTCTATGAAAAATCATAGACCTGTCTTAGCATTGGAAACTACTTTTATTAGTACTCACTGACCAAGCATTTAACTAGATGGGAATGAAGTTTTCAGAAGGTTCATTAAAAGGACATTTAATGATTAACAATGAATGCATTCCAGTGGACAAGTATTTTATTTCATGACTGAAGAGGTGAGTTGTTTGTTTGTTTTTTAGTTACCATTCTCTCTTAAATAATTATTTTTTTTGTGTGTTAATAAAGAGGCAGCCTGATGTAGTGAATAGAAAATTGGCCTCAGTCGGAAAGACCCGGGTTCTAGCCGGGTTCTAGTACTGCTTCTAACACATAGTAGCTGTGTGACCCTGAGAAAATTATTTATTCTCAGGGCCCCAAGCAACACTCTGAGATCGTAAATTAAGAGACAATGCTGACCTTCATTGGTAGAGGGACTTTCTTCTAAATCATAAATCTGAACCTGGAAAGGATCCAAACCCAAAGTCATGCAATGAGTGGAACTAGAGAAGTTGTGTCCTAAATTTGGATCCAATAACCCAATTCCTTGACACCAGATAGAAAGGAATCCTGGACTATTGCAAAATTATGATCTCTTTCTCTCATTTGGAATGACCTAAATAATCTTATTACCATATAACAACAACAAAGATATACTCAGCATGCATACCCATCTGGGATTTAGAGATCTAATCTAAACCTTTCATTTTATAGACAAGGTAACACCTTAGAACATATAGAGACCCAGAGAGGTTAAGTGACTATTCAGAGTCACACAGTAAGCTAGTGTGGCTCCTAACTCCAAATACAAGCTTAGGGCTCACCATATTTCCCTCTTTCTAACCTTGCAGAAAGCTTTAGCGGTTCTTTGTTACTTTTAAGATCATATTGAAAGGTCCTTTCATAACCTGGTCTCTTCCTATCTATGCATTTATCTTACATTTTATTCCCTGACATACACTATACAATCCGGCTACATTCATTGGTCTAATTAATGTTGCTTCATCTTCATCACCTTTGCATATTCCACGTGCCAGGAATACGCTATCTCATCATCTCTGCCTCCTAAGTACCCTGAACTCCTTCAAGACTTGCCTTCCACATGATACCTTAACTGCTAGTGCTTTCCCTGAAACTGTTAGTCACATCTGACTCTTCATGAGCTTATGGGGGTTTTCTTGGCAAAACTACTGGAGTAGGTTTGCCATTTCCTGCACAGTTGATTGAGGCAAACAGAAGTTAAGTGACTTGCCCAGGGTCACACAGCTAGTAAGTATCTAAGGCCAGAATTGACCTCAGGTCTTCATTACTCTGGATCCTGCATTCTGTTCACTGAGCTACCTAGTTGCCTCTCTGACCTTGGATCTATTCTGTGCCTATGTTATATGTACCTAATTACTTACATGCTGTCTCCTCCATCAGAGTGTGACCTCCTTGAGGGCAGGTACAATATTTTTTCCTTCCTTTTTTCTCTGATGTTTAACCCAGTGCCAGGTACAAAGTTAAGCAATTAAAACACATTTATGGATTAATCACTTTGTTGATTGATTTCAACTACATGATGCTATAAGTCCTGAAATTTAATGGGTGAACATCTGTAGTCATGAAATCAGCTTCATACCTTTCCTAATGAAGGGCACATCAAGTATTAGTCACTAATAATTGGAAGGGATGGTGCAGTGGATCAGACCCATCCTGGGAACCTACATCATTTTATACCCCTTCAGTTTTCCCTGTGATGCCTAGTGGAGACCCACATGTCTGAGAAACAGGACTCCTACTCTGTTAGGTCTTAAAGCTTTGCCCTGGTCTTGCTGAATATAGACTTTGCTTTTTTTTTTTTTAACCATGCTTCTTTTAGTGCTTGACAAACATTCCTGTGGAATGATCACAGCAAGAGAAGTATCTCATCCCAATTAAATTACTAAAAAATTATTTTACTGAGTTAGAAAAACATTTTTCTAATATTTTTTCCAAAATTCATTTGGAAGGACAAAAGGTCAAGAATTTCCAAGAAACTAATGAAAAAAAATGTAAAGGAAGGAGATTCAGTAATTCTAGACCTTAAACTATATTATGAGGCAGTAAATACCAAAACTATCTGACACTAAGAAATAGAAAGGCAGATCAGTGGAATAGAGCAGACACACAATTCACAGTAGTAAAGGACTATAGAAACTTGTGTTTGACAAATGTCAAGATTTAAATTTGAGGGATAAGAATTCATTATTTGGAAAAAAAATTGTTGGGGAAGGTGGAAAGCAGTTTGGCAGAAATGGGGCATAGGACATTATCTTAAACCATGCACCAAGATAAGGTCAAAATGGATATATGACCTAGATATACAGGGAGATATCACAAGAAAATTAGAAGACCGTGGAACATATTACCTATCAGACTCATGGGTAGGAGAATAATATATGAAGAAATAAGAGATAGAGAAAATTTGAGGAGTAAAAAGGATAATTTTGATTATATTAAATTTAAAAAATTTATACAAATAAAACCAATATAGCCAAGATTAGAAGGAAAGCAGAAAATTGGGGGAAAAACTTTCATAGACAATCTCTGAGATAAAGGTCTCATTTCTCAAATATATAAAGAATTTTATCAAGTTTATGAGAATACAATTCATTCATCAGTTGATAAATGGTCAAAAGATATGAACAGGCAGTTTTTCAATGAAGAAATCAAAACTATGTATAATAATATAAAAAAATGCTCTTAATCATTACTGATTAGAGAAATGCAAATTAAAACAACTTTGTGATATCTTACCTCTATCAGATTGGCTAAAATGATAGATGACCTTCATTTGGGGAATGGTTGAACAAGTTGTGGTATATGATTATATCACTACTGTGACGTAAAGAAATGATGAGCTCATTGATTGTAGAAAAAACATGGAAAGACTTGGACCTATAAAGGAAGATGCTATCCACCTCCAGAGAAAGAACTGAGAAATAGAAATCTATGCAGTATGGTTGTATATATATGTGCGTATATATATATATATATATATATATATATATATGGGTGTATATATGTATATATACATGTATACTTGTATATGTATGTATTTGTGTTTAATTGTAGCCTTCTCTAGGACGAGGGAGGAAAAAATAAAATTAAAAGTGCACAGCAGAGAACAAAAGAAAACTTAAAAGGAGCCATAGAAAAGCTGGGACATTTTGTAAGCAATGTGTAGCATTTATTACATAGGTTTTCCAAAAAAAGTAAATAGTTTGAAATGAAAATTTATTGTTTTATATTGAATCCTCTCTTTTTATTCTGCTATATACATGGAAATGTTCTTTTCTCATTTTGTATTTGTTTGAAATGAATAAAAACTTTAAAAAGCAAGAGAAGCACCTATGTAAAGCAATGCTTTTCTGCCAGAGTTTGTAAGTTGATCACATAATACACCATAATTAGGTTTCCTAAAAATTAAAATGCTTAAGCATTGCAAATATATTAATGTCTATTTCCTCTTTTTCTATTTTTTGTTTTTGTTTTTCCCAGAAAAGGACTGGCTGAAGGGCCTGGACAGCAACATCTTACTGTGAAGAGCAGGGACCCTCTTCCTGAGCATTTCACCAAAAATGTGCAGGAAGCCATTCATAATTATAACTGGTAAGAATAACCCACTGATCTCTTATGGATTTCAGAATGGAGAAATGTGTGCTGGTTATGTGGTAGGAAGGCATATTAGGTGGAGGCCTTACATTTATAAAAGTAAAGCATAATTGTGTATTTTCTTAGTTTTTGGAAAATGTTATTAAGCTATTACAGCTGAAAACTTTGCTAAGATTTTTGGGAAGCCTTAGAAATATAGCATAATGATAGTACAGTACAGTGTAGTATAGAACAGCATAGTAGATACTCTATTATAGTAGTTGGATTTTTAGTATAGTATAGTAATACTAATAGTAATAGTATAATATGACATGTATTATACTGGGTAAATATGTATATTATACACAAATGTTTTATACATATTATATTGGATATACACATTATACAAAATAGTGTATATATAAATAAAATATGTAAACATGTGTGATATGCACATATATACATACATTCATGTGTATATAGATACACACATACATGCACATGTGTATGGGTATATACATATATGTATACACACATGCATGTATAGGTGTATGGGTATACACACATACATGTATAGGCGTATGGGTATACACATATATGTATACTCACATGCATGTATAGGTGTGTGGGTATACACACACATATATACACATGCACATACATGTATAGGTATATGGGTATACACATATATGTGTACACACATATGTGTTTGTACATACACTCACACACATATACGGACAGACAGACACACACACACACACACACATTTTATCAGACTTGTGATTCCCAGTATGTGTCAGGGCAGGACTTAAACCCAGTCCTTCCTGACTCAGAGGCCAATATTTTATCTACTACATCATGCTGCCTCTCTGAAAATCATAGATAGACTTCTGGAATGAACCTCAGAAACCATCAAATCCAATCCCCTCATTTTAAAAAATGAGGAAATGGGGGCCCAGAGAGGTTTTGCTCAAATCTAATTCTATCTATAGGGGCTAGATCTGTGGTTTCATTGGTGTAAGGTACTCCCAGAGGGAGGAAACTTTCTTGCCAATGTGGGTTGGCATCCTCTTTGCAATTTATAGTCTCAGAGGGTTGCTTGGATCAATGAGAGCTATGGTGGCTTAGCCAGGGTCACACAGCCAATAGTTATCACACACAAATCTTCGAGGCCACCTCTCTACTCACAAAGCCACACAGCCTTTCAACTATATACTAAATGTAGAACTAGGTCTAGATAAGGGATCCTTAATCAGGGGTCAAAGTTAAAAGTATTTTGCTAACTATATTTCAATATAACTGGCTTCCTCTGGAATCCTATGAACTTTATTTTGTGCATTTAAAAACATTATTCTGAAAGGGAGGGGGTCCATATGCTTCACCAGACTATGGAAGGGGTCAATGACACAAAAAGATTAAGAACTCATGCTCTGGATTATTAACTTGTATCTCAAGATAGTTCCTTATCTGGAGTTATATGTGTAGATAGATACAGATAATATAAGTATGGATAGATACAGACATAGATAAAAATGTGTATATAGATATAGTCAAGATATGGATGTAGATACAGATATAGGTACAGGTATACATATACAGGGATATTAAAAAAGGATTGAACACTTTCAAGAATTTATTCCTCAGTAACTAGGTTATATATGAACATGTAATCCTCCAGTAGCAAACATAAAATCTTTTTTGTTGTTGAAAGACCTTCATAAACTAACCCCTTTCTGCCTTTCCAGTCTTTCTACACCTCACTCCTTTGCTTGTGCTCTTCCATCCAATGACCCTGGCTTCCTTGCTGCTCCTCTTGGAACACACTTCTTGACTCCAGGAGTTTTTTCTAGCTCATCCCCAGGTCTAAAATGCTTTTTCTTTCATTTCTGTTTTTCTGAACTCCCTGGCTTCCTTCAAGTCTCAGCTGAAGTCTCACCTTCTACCAGAAGCCTTTCCCAATCCCCCTTAATTCTAGTACTTTTCCTCCTGTTGATTATTTCAAATTTATCCTGTCTAGCTTATTTATACATAGTTTTCTTGCAGTCATCTCCCCATTAGACTGTGAGTTTCTTGGAAGCAGAGACTATTTTTTGCCTTTCTTTGTATCCTTGGCACTTAGTACAATGCTGGGCACATAGTAGGTCCTTAATAAATACTAATTGACTGATTACTGAGAAATATAGGGGAATCTCTACAACTTGGTATCATACTCCTACACACATAGACACATATGTACATAACCTAGTTATTGAATAATAACTTTTTTGGAATAACTCTGAATTTTGAGAGTATACATGATACATAATTTTACACATACATGCATATAAATATCCACTTACTGACGAGTGCTGCTTATTCCCCGTGGATACCCCTTCTTTATGGGTTGATTGTGGCTGAAAAGCCTTATCGACTTTGGCCAACCTTCTGGTGATGACCCATCCTGATATTAACCAAAGTTGGTACCACCTCAGATAACACCCACAGTAACCTTGTCATTCCCATACTCATCACCTTTCATGCTTGCTAGAATCTTGACAGAGACTGCCCTCTGTTGGTGTAGCCTTGTAAGTTCACCTCCATATTATGATGAAGAATTGGGTCTTTAGGTGGAGATTATAGATAGGTACAGTTCTAGATTCCAGATAGATACAGATATAGATTATTTGATGGGCTAAATGAGCCCAAGTAAAGCCAAAAAAAAGAAAAGAAAAGAAAAAAGAAACGAGTCACAAAAGAAATAAAGCTGCCCATGCATTCCTTTTCTCTCTAAATGTTATTCTTGCACATTTGTTTTAATTTCTGCAGTGAATCCGTTTCATCTCTCTTGTCGAGTGGGAACACCACCCCTGCAGACTTGAATAATTCTTGGTCTGGAATACAAAGCATTACTACTGAAAGAAGTGCATCTACTGAAAGAAGTGCGTCTACTGAACGAAGCGCGTCTACTGAACGAAGCTCAGTCTCCTCTTGGACAGATGACGTACGTCGATGGTTATTTTGTAACTTACCTAGAAGTGAGGTAGCATCGTGCTCTGGCCCTGGAGTTAGGAATGCTCCCAGAGTCCAGATCCAGCCTCAGACATTTACTAAATGTATGACCCTGAGTAGGTCATTTAATCTCTGCCTGTCTCATTTTCATTACCTGTGACATCAAATGACATAAGTGATGCCAAGTGACACCATCTTAAGATGGCAATGATAATGGCAGCTACCTCACAGGATTATTGTTCTATGTACAGTTCCTGGGACATAGTATGTGCTTCATAAATGGTTTTTTCCTTTTATTTTTCATATCCTATGATCTGAATGCAGAATTTGAGGCAGCATGAAACAGTGGGAAGAACAGCAACTTTGAAATTGGAGAAATTGGGTTCAAATCTCTGACCTTACTACCTCTATTATCTTGGCCACGTCATGAAAACTTCCCAGGCCTCACTTTCCTCCTTTGTAACAATTCATATAGTGCTTTAAGGTTTACAAAACCCGTTACAAATATCATCTAATTTATCTTTGGATCAGCCGTCCCTGGGAGGTAGGTGCTGCTATTATTCCCATTTACAAAGGAGGAAAGTGAGGCAGACAGTGGTTAAGTGACTTGCCTGGGGTCACACGGCTAAGTAGGTATCTGAGGTCATATTTTAATTAAGTCTTTCCTGACTCCAGGTTGAGTGTTCTACCACTGGTACCACCTAGATGCCTGGAAAATGAGAGAGCTGCACTAGATGGTCTTTCACATCCCTTCTGGCTCTGATCTGGGATCCTATGAATAGATGATCTCCTAGGATCCTTCCAGATCTATATCCAAGACCCAAAGGTCCCAATCTACTCAAAAATTTCAGGACAAACATGTATCAATGTGATTCATGATAGGAATTGGGCACACCCTCAAGTGTGACTGTGGTATCTTTTAAGAAATTATTACCTGGGGCAGTGGTGCAATAGATAGAGCTCCAGCCTTGGAGTCAGGAGGACCTGAGTTCAAATCCAACTTCAGATACATGATCCTTACTAGCTGTGTGACCCTGGGCAAGTCACTTAACCCCAATTGTCTCACCCAAAAGCAAAAAAAAAAAAAAGAAATTATTACCCCCACTAAATTCAAGTACATTCTCAGGTTAATAAATACTTCCTTCCTAAGGAAATTATAACACATAGACTTCCACTTATGTTGCTGCTTTAGGATTTTGATAAAGCCGCAACGAAAAAAGTTCAGCAGTTATTCCGAGAGGTGGATGAAATGCTCTTTGAAGGGAAGATCAGTCCTCACTGCCAGAATCTGCAGGCAGAATGTGAAGAGTGGACTAGAAGGTCGCTTCATCTCAGGTAAGTGAAATGTTGAGTGTTATTTTCTGGAGTGGCTGCTTTTTAGAAACATTAGTGGAAGAATGCTGTCAGCCAATAAATGCATCCAGGCTCTACAAATTGTTCAAAACCTTGGGAAATATTGAAATATCTAAATAATTGTGTATGTTGTACTGAAGTAAAATAGAGCAAAGATCTAACATGCTTCCATCCATGTTATCAAGTGCATCCTGATGAAAATGTAATTGGGAAATATTTAACAAAAAACACACACATACACAATAGAACATTTTCTTGTTTAGGTGTTTCAGTTGTGTCTGACTCTTCATAACACCATTTGGGGTTTTCATGGCAAAGATACTGGAGCGATTTGCCATTTCCTTCTCAAGGTCATTTTATGTTAAAGGAAACTGAGGCAAACAGTATTAAGTAACTTGCCCAGGGTCATACAGCTAGGAAGTGTCTAAAGCCAGATTTGAAATCAGATCTTTCTAAATCCATTTTGCCACCCAGCTGCTTACAATGTAGAACATAGATCAAGTTATTATGTGGTTTTCTAAGTCAATATGTCCCCATAGTGATTCCTATTTATGGCTTGGTAGTCTATTTGAGTATTTCTATTTGAGTTTGATACCACTGATGTAAACAGCCTATCTAATGCCTTTATTGGAAAGCATAGCATCTATAATAAAAATTATATTTATAATAGTAACGAGTCTTTTCCTTAGGGAGAGGTCAGCCTGAATAAACATACTGAAGTTGGAGAATATAGGAAGTACACAAAAAGGTTTTCTGCCCTCGGTTCTCAGGTGGCTGTGTATTTGATATTCCCCCAGCCCTAAAGGAAAAGAAAAACTCAATCATCTGGAAATACCTTCATTCTATATTATGTTATGTGGAAATCAATCAGCAAGCCTTTATTAAGTCCCTATTCTGTGGTATAAACAGTCCAGGATATTGAGGATTCAGAGGCCAGAGAGAAACAGCTCCTGCCCTTGCTGAGCTTTTAGTATAGCAGAGGAGAAAGCATTCCCATACTTGGATCTGTTTTATTAATTGTATTTGAATCCCCAGTGCCTAGCATAGTGCCTGACACATAGTAGGTGCTAAATAAATACTTGGTGATGATCCGTAACATTTTCAAGGTAACCATGGGAATAAAAGCTGGGCCAAACTGGAAAGAAATTAATTTGCAAGCTAATTTTCATGCCCAGTATACTGTTTTTCTTTACCTGGATAGATAGCTGTTCCAGTAGCTTATCTTGTCTAGGTATTAAGATCCATGTCTTCATAATATTATCAACCCCTTCACTACCACTCTGGTTTAGGATCTAGAGTTACCTAATGATATACATGTGTAGAGAAATCAGTAGATATTAATTGAATATTAATTCAAGTGTGCTACATGAAATAGGTAGATGTCATTCCAAATAGTCAGGGACATACAAAAGGTCAATGAATGTATACCTAGAGATATTTGGTTGGCACAATGGTTGGAGCACTGGACTTAAGGTCAGACACTTACTAGCTGTGTGACACTGAGCAAGTCACTTAAGCTATGCCCACCTCAATTTCCCCACTTGTAAAAAATGAGTTAATAACAGCACCTCCCTCTCTGGGTTGTTGTGAGGTTCAAATGCGATATAAAGTGTTTTGCAAACTTTTAGGTACTATGTAAATGATATCTATGTATATTCTTTCTTATTTTTAAATGTTATACTCATACCAGTGCATGTTGCAGGGGAAGTTCTGGCTTTAGAATAAGGGGACTTGAGTTCACATCTTGTCTCTGCTACTTGCTAGTTGTGTGAACTTGGGCAAGTCCCTTAACTCCTCTAGGCCTCAGATTCTTCATTTGATAAAGGAGAGTGTTGGTCTAGATTAGGGGTGGAGAACCTGTGGCCTTGAGGCCACATGTGGCCCTCTAGGTCCTCAAGTGCGGTCCTTTGCCTGAATCTAAACTTCATACAACAAATCCCTATAAATTCCTAAAAGGATTTGTTTGGCAAAGTTTGGATTCAGTCAAAGGGTCAAACTTGAGGACCTAGAGGGCCACATGTGGCCTTGAGGCTGCAGGTTCCCTACCCCTGGTCTAGTTGAACTTTATGGTCTAGTTTAGTTCTAAATCCATAATCTTATGGGAAAAAGTCCTTTCCTCTTAACGTCTTTTCAATTATTACCATGTTCTCTATTTTTAAAAAGTTCAGAATGACATTATTTTAATAGCCATTATTATCTTTTTTTTGTATCTCACAGGGTTCTAGGAAAACAGCTCATGTTTCCAACAGACGAAGGTTTTCAACATTTTCCAAGCCATACTGCTAGTTCTGTCCACATTAAATCCTCACTTGATCTCTGTGAAAGCAATAACAATCTCAAAGAGTATGTTTTCTTTTTTTTCTTTTAAGTTTTATTGATGCCTTCTGAGTGACACTTGTCATTTTTTGATCTGGTCCCTCTCCCCCTATCACAGAGCTGTCCTTTGTCCCAAGCAAAGCATCTAAGCAGAACTGACCGCAAAGGCCTGCACCTTATAGCATACACATATCATTCCATCTCTGTAGTTGTTCACCTTGGCACCAGGAGGAGAGAAATGTATTTCATCACCTATTTTCTGTGACCAAGATTGGTCATTGTGATTTATCTGAGCTCTGTTTTCATTATATTATTGTAGTCTTTACATATACTATTCTTCTGGTGTTCTGGACCAAGCCTGACTCAGGCCAACTTCCTGGTAGTTTGGGTTTGATGTTGGATTGAAATGAGGCACTCACAGAGCAAACAACAGTTAACAAAAGGAGACTCATTTAGACAAAGAGGGAAGGGAAGTGTATTCAACAAGGATATACATTGAGGACACCTGAGTTGATTCAACTGAGTGATGTTCGCCTACCTCCGAGATGTCTATTGTGGTTTGCCAGCCAAGCATCAGAGGTCCTTGAGACTATTTCTACTTAGGTGAGCAGGAGGTCTTAGCAACAGCCTTTAGTCACTTCAGCCAGTCAAGTCTTGACTGTGATTTCATTACCTTTTAAAGATTCAGAGGTTATAATTTTGCTTCTACCACATTTGGTGCACTTTTCTTCACTCTATCATTGTTTCTATGAGTTATTCTAGAAAGGTTTTTTATCTTAGTCACAATCATCTCTCTGTCTGTCCAGTCAAGGCTGGATTGACATTCAGCAACTATTGGCAAACCAACACACCAGAAAGTTGCATCACTGAGGGGAATTTGGATTTGGGTGGAAGATGGGGAAGGAGCAGCTTCTCAAAAATCCCTGTTCAGAGATTAAGGGCTCCAGTTAAATGGCTTTGGCTTAAGCCCCTGATTTAATAAATAAATCAATTTATTTATTAAAAGGACTGGAGGAGAGTATTCCTGGTAATGGTATAACTGGGAATTCTGGTGTTCAAGAAAAATTCATTTAATGAGGATGCGGAAGAGACTAATCTACTTCAGTTAGGAGCATTTGTGCCAGGAGAAGGTACTGTCTCTCAAAGAGCCTTATCCCCACCCATTGGAATACTGATGAGAAAAAATAGTGAGCTAAAGACAAAGTCTTCTGACTTTGGAGTCAGAAGAGCTGGGCTCAAATTCTGCCTCTGACACTATTTATGTAACCTTGGGCAAGACACTTAACTCTCTGGACCTTTATTTCCCCATCTGTAAAATGAAGAGGTGTGTTAGATGACTTCTCCCAACTCTAAATGATCCCTGATCCCTTTCTCTTGATTCCTCTAATCACTGGGAAGAAGGGGGAAGAGTAAGCCCATTGTAATGTTGGGGCTCATGGTGTGGTGGCCTAGGTCCAGGTGAGATAGCAGGTATAGAGATCGTACAGGGATCCTGAGGATTGTGGGAAAAGAGAAATGCCCTCTTCTGTCAGCTTTCTGAAGCAAAGCTCCAGTTTTCCTACCCTAGTTATATAGCTTGGTTACCTGGTAAGGTAGTCCCAATATTAGAGGAACCTCATAGTGGCACAAGGAGCAGGGTGATGTTGCTCCAATCTACTACAAGGTGAAAGTAGGAACAGGAGTAAAGGATAAAACCTGCCTGGCAGTCTATTCCTGCCCCATATGCCTTTGCAATGAGGGAAGGGTATGGGTGGGTAACATTCAAATAGAGTTCTCCTGCTTGGGAAAGAAAAACTTGATCTCATAGAGTGATTTGGGTTTATAAAAAGCCTCTTATGGATTTTGTTTTTTGAGGGGTGAAGTTTGGGTTTTATCTTATTTTTTAAAGTATAGTTCTTTCTTCAAAAATATTTATTTCCTAAAAATATATGCATTTATTAATGAATATTTCTTTAAAACATATTTATTTCTTCAAAAATATATTAATATATTTCTTTAAAATATGCATTTTAAAAACATACATTTATTAATATATTTAAAATATTTATTTCTTCAAAATAAACATTTATTAATATATTTCTTTAAAAATATATTTATTTCTTCAAAAAATAAATTTTGATCTGACTGATCTTTTCCTATGGAATCATGTTATTTCAACAGAAGTGAAAACATCAGCCATAATCACACAAGTGCTGGTCTGGGACTGTTGGAACATCTTCCCAAGTATAATTGATGGTTACTGTCTTTGGTTGCTTATAGGCTGTGCATCTCAGGCTCTAAGCTTGTCCCAGAAGATTACACAAGAATTTCTTCTGTTGTTTCTGACATAGCTGCTTCATTCCTAGAAGAAGAGATCTATGATGTGGATGGAGAAATTGAAGAGTATTTTGCTTTCGACAAAAAAGAACTGTAAGTAGAACATTTCACTAAAATGGACAAAGTTTCAAGGGTGACATTATTTAATTTGAATTAAGTCTTCAAATTCCTTTGCTTGCTAGGATGATGCTATAATCCCCTAATTCCTAGGGTGCCCTTTTGAAACACTCTTTGATTTTAAATCCAAATATTTGTACACACTTCTTTGTTGCAAAGTAGTTTAACACAAGTATACTAAGAAGAGCACGTGCTAGAGAGTCATTTCATGAGTGGTAATACTGCCTCTCTAGTCAACTAGCTGTGTGACTTGAAAAATGTTAATTAGCTTCTAGATTTTGATTTCTTCCTGTGTAAAATAAAGGGGACTAGATGATTCTTTTAAGATCCCTCCCAGTTCAATTATTTCATGATGATCAATAAATCAATTTATTCAGCACTTGCCATGTACCAGACACTAGAAAAATGTCATTTATTATGCTTAGCAATGAGTTTTTGCATTACATTTCATTGATAAAGGCAATTCCTAAATGTGGAAAATTTCAGCACCAATGCAATTTTATAATCTCAGAAAGTTTCCTAAAACACTAAGAGATTAAGTGACTTGCCTGGAGTCAAACACTCAGTATCTATCTGGGACTATATTTAAACCCCAATCTTCCTGATTTCCTTTATCCACAATGGCACCCTCACCCTCATGATGTTCAATCAGTTAATTTATTAAGCACTTACCCTGTACCAGACGCCAGCAAAAACAGTCCTTACCCTGAAGGAGCTTACACTCTAATGGGGGATGACGATATGCAAATAGCTATGTACATATAGAATATATACAGGGTAAATTGGAGGGAGTCTCAGAAGAAAAGCACCAGCATTACAAATAGAAATAGTTCCGATTTATTATGCTTAGCAATGAGATGGTGAAGTTTTTTTTAATGTCTTATAACCCCTTTATTCACCCAGTTGATGTCCTACTGATTTGAAACTAATCTTAAATCCTTAGGCATCTAGTTTATCAGTCTGTGATGTAGATACAGTCAAATCCATTGCAAAATAAATGCATGTTTTATCCTTTCAGTAATTTACATAAAGGAAATTTTTTTCATTAACAAAAACTGACTGATTTTAGCAACAAGAATGTCCTTATTTTTGTTTTAAGTGATGATGAAAGTCTGGAACCCAAGAAAGCTGTTGTCGGTCGACAAAGGAATAAACATGGCATCCCTCCTATTTCCCCTGAGGACTGCATCAAAGATGCGGCAGCTGCTGAAGTGTTTGATCATGCTTGGAGAAATGTGGTTGAAATGTTGGAAGAGCTGGTTAGAAAAACATGGGAAACTGCCCCTCAAGGTACTTAAGTAATGTCAACAAACAACCTCCTAAAACACTAAAAAAAAAAAAAAATCTAAAAAAACTCCACTTTAAAAGAGTATTTCTCAGCTCTATCTAGTTTTCATTTTAGGTATATCCCATTATTATGTGTTCTAAGGAAGACGTTCTTTCTCCTCAAAGTAATGGTTCTAATACTTTCTCAATGGGAGAAAATTTTATTGATTATTTTGTACAATATCTTTACTGACACTGGAAGAGTTGTGATGAAGCACAATTCAAGAAATTTATTTGATCAAAAAGGTCATAATTAGCTTTATTGTCTATTCAGCTTCCAGTGATGTTTTAAACAAAAAAAAAAGTTTGGTAGACTGGCAAAGATTAACATGATGCAGAAACACAAATCATAGTGACCTGTTTTACTGACTAATTGTATATAACTAGTACCATAAAGCTACTTTTCCTAACTCTTTCCCTCCGGAAGGAGAAAAATAGAACCCCCCCCCAAGGACATGGAAGGCTATGAATAAGTCATGACCTCACCATAAATCAAACCAATTTTTTAAAACTGGATTCTTGTTGCTGATGCTCTTGTTTAGTTATTTTCACTTGTGTCCAACTCTTTGTGCCCCATTTGGGGTTTTCCTGGCAGAGATCCTGTAAGGATTTGCCATTTCCTTCTCCAGCTCATTTTACAGATGAGGAAACTGGGGCAAACAGGGTTAAGTGACTTGTCCAGGATCACACAACTATTAAGTTTCTGAGCCTGGATTTGAACCCACAAAGATAAATCTTCTTGATTCTTTTTTTAAGGTAGTATTTTATTTTTTTCCCCCGATTACGTGTCAAGACAATTTTTAACATTCATCTTTACAAGATTTTGAATTCCAAATTTTTCTCCCTTCCTCCTCACATCTCTTCTAAAAATGGTAGGCAATTTGATATAGGTAATATATGTGCTATCATGGAAAACATTTCCATATTAGTTAAAATTGTGAAAGAAGAAACAGATCAAAAGGGGAAAAAAAAAACATGGAAAAGAATAAAGTAAGTGAAAAAAAATGTGCTTCAATCTGCATTCAGAGTCCATAAGTTCTTTATCTGGATGTGGATAGAATTTTCCTTTATGAGTCCTTTGTACTTGTCTTGGATCATTGTGTTGTTGAGAAGAGACGGGTCATTCATAGCTGATCATCACCCAATGTGCTGATACTGTGTACAATGTTTTCCTGGTTCTGCTCATTTCACTTTGCATCAGTTCATACAAATCTTTACAGGTTTTTCTGAAATCTGCCTGTTCATCATTTCTTATTGCACAATAACATTTCATTACATTCATATACCACAGCTTGTTCAGCCATTCCCCAATTGACAGGCATTCCATCAGTTTCCAATAGTTTGCCACCATATAAAAGGGTGCTATAAATATTTTTGCACACATGGGTCCTTTCCCTCTTTTTTGATCCCCTTGGGATACAGACCTAGTAGTGGTATTGCTGGATCAATCAGTTTGGTTGGCATAGTTCCAAATTGCTCTCCAGAATGGATAGATTAGTTTACAACTTCACCAACAGTGCATCAATATCCCAGTTCTTCCACATCCTCTCCAATGTTTATCATTTCCCTTTTTTATCATATTAGCCAATCTGATAGGGGTGAGGTAATACCTCAGAGTTGTTTTAATTTGCATGATTTAGAGCACTTCTTCATATGCCTATAGATAGCTTTGATTTTTTTCATCTGAAAACTGCCTTTTCATATCCTTTGACCGTTTATCAATTGGGGAAGAATCTTCCTGATTCTATGCCCAGCGCTCTATCCATTCTGCCATCTAGCTGTCCTTCAAAATGGGTACAGATAGTAAAAAGCTCCAGTGGTTCTTTCTTTGCTCTTTGTTATGTGTCCAGTCCTTCACACAAGGCCTTGCAGACAGCAGGTACTTAGTAAGTGTTCGTTGAAGTGAATGCTCCTTGATTATTGGCCATATTTTCTCTTTTGACTGAGGAGGAGATTCATGATACCTTGAGGTATCATAAAATGAAGAATTTTAGTTTGCTTCTTTATTGCTAACTTTTTTACTAGGAAAGTTGACAGTTCTCTTAACTGGTAGAACTTCAAAAACTGCATAATTGCATTGCATACACTGAATAAATGTGTTTTTAAATTGTTATTTATACTTCATGTTGTTGCAGGAGGAAGTAAACAGAGAGAAAACTTGAAGACAGCTGGAAATAAATTGGCAAAACTACCAAGTTCCCATATTCCACCCAATCCATCGAGTGTTCCTCCTTCCAGAGGTTCTGAGACCCACAGCACATCATTGGGTTCTCATATGGGTCCGTCTCAGGTCAGACGCTTTTCTGTTCAAGTCTATTTTTCTATCCTGGAAGCTTCTGTTTCTATAGTTGAGATAGTGTGTTTTGATCCTGAAAGGAAACTACTAAAGACAATGGAAAAAGAAATTGATATAGTCATAGTTATGCCTTAGCGAGAATTTTTATTTTTATTTTTATTTGTATTTTACCTGTGGGGAGAATGGATTGAAGAAGGAAACTACTTGAAGCGGAGAGACTAATTAGGTAGTTGTTGCAATAGTCAAGGTGAAAGATGATGAGAAATCTATACTAGCCTGACAGATACAAGAGCGGACAGAAAGGAAATGATAAGAACTAGATTATGGACATAGAATGGAAAAGTCTTAGAAACTGACAAGCATGTGGGGTCAGAGAGAGGGAAATGTCAAGGATGGTTGGGGTTAAGAACCTAGGTCCTGTGAAATGGCAATGCCCTTAGCAGAAAAGTTTGGAAGAACGGCCTTTTTAGAAAGATGATATTTTATTTTAGACAGTCAAATTTGATATGTCAATGAGACATCTGGTTAGAGATAATGAGCAGGCAATTGGTCACATGGGACTAGTGTTAAGTGACTGGATATATAAATTAGGGAGTCATATGCACAAAGATGATAATTGATCTCTTGGGAGTAAATGAAATCACTAATTGAGAGTACAAAGAGAAACTAGGACCCAGAACAGAACCTTAAGGTCAAACTGTGCTTAAAGGGCAAGAGATAAAGGATCCAGCAAAGGAATTTCTAAAGGAACAGATGTACAGGAAGAAGAACTGGAAGAGAGTATTGTCATGGAAACCATGACAGTAGAAGGTGTAGTCAACAGTGTCACAATAATCTGCAGAAAGGATGGAGAAAAAGCCATTGGTTTTGGCAAATAAGAGCTCATTGGTAACCTTGAAGAGAGCAGTTTCTGTTAATTAGTGGGGTCAGAAACCTGAATACAAGGCATTGAGAACTGAGTTGTTGGTGACAAAGGGAGTAGGGTGGGAGCAAACTCTCTCTGGGCACTGGGCTGTGAAAAGAAGAGATACAAGACAATGGCTTGAAGGGATGTCAAAGGAATTGATCAAGTGAAAATGTTTTAAAGATGAGGAAGACTATGGCATGTTTTTAGGAAGCATTTTGAAAGGAGGTGATAATAGAGGGAATGGCAGAAGGGCAGGCTCCTGGAAGAGGTGAGAAAGGATGAGTGGGATTGGGGCAGTTGGGTCACATAGCAGATAGAGCTCTAGACCTGCAGTCAGGAAGACTGAATTTAAATCCAGCTTTAGACACTTACTAGCTAACTTAACCTTCCTCTGCCTCAGTTTCCTCATTTGTAAAAATGGGGATGGGAAAAATAATAGCACCTATCTCACAGGGTTATTGCAAGAATGAAATGAGATAATATTTGTAAAGTGCTTTCCAAACCTTAAAATGTTCTATCAATACTAGCTAGTTGTTATGTAAAGGATTGGAAACAGCTTCCTTGGAGATTGGAGCAAAGGAGAAGAGTAGGTGAAGAATTGAGTGATTTTGAGATATGGAATAAGAGATATGAGGGAACTCATAAGAGGTGGCCTTAATTTTATCGTTTTATCATCTTCTTAGTCGTTTACTGAGAAAGCTGGAGGAGGGAAGAATAGAGAGTTGAAAAAGAGAGGAAAATTTTGTAATCACTTCTGTGGAGTGCATAAAAGTGAATCAAGGAAGAATTTTTAAAGGAATTGCCATACAGTGAGGGTGAAGGTGGGTGTAGAACATCTCAATATGTTTATATCCTCATCAGCACAGTTCCGTAACTTCCTCAGCAGCATAGGAATAGAAGGACAGCTGGTAGATGATGAGGGTGGCTCAGAGTTGAGAACTGGCCAGGAGTGAAAGGCAATGTTACAAGGAAGCAGGGGTTACTAAGTGCATTGTTATCTGCTTTGATGCATATTTAATATGAGGATCTTACAAGTGGGGTTTTAAAAACAGAATAGGCAAAGATCCAAAAACATTTGGTAAAGTGGGTAGACCTGAGGAAGATGGGGATTGAAACAGCAAAACAAACGACTGTTATACAGGTGTCTCATTATCCTGCCGACTCAGAATGTTTCTATAAACTACTTGTATTTTGTGCTTTTTTGTTCTCTTAACTGGGCTTGTGATTTTATCTCTGTTAAGGAGTTCCCAGTTAGACTTAAAACAATGTATATTGGCATCTTTTCTGCAGTTAATTCTTAGCTCAGGAATTCTTAACTTCTTTGGTGCCCTCTGGACCCCACTGGCAGTCTGGTGAAACCTATGAACCCCTTTTCACAAGAATATTTTCCAGTGCATAAAATAAAATATATAGGATTACAATGAAAACCAATTTTATTGAAATATCAAAAATATCAAATAAATATGAAATATTAAAAATATGCTAAAATTTTTAAAGCTCATGAACCTCAAGTTAAGAACACCTGTCTTATAAAATTGCCCAGGATATGGAAAAGTTAATTAATTGGTTTAAGATCATACAACCAGTATGTATCAGAAGTAGGACTTGAATTCCTGTCAGTCAAATAGCCGATAAACATTTATTAAACACCTACTGTCTCCCAGGTACCGTGATAAGCACTAGAATGTCTTCCTAACTTTGAGGCCAGCTTTCTATCTAGTATGCCACATTACTGTCTCTATAATGCACGTGTTGCAGGAAATGAGAATTGAGACTGTGGACTTGCATCTGTGATCTCCTTGATGTAGGAAACTCCTTCTACTAATGCAAGTCAGCAACTCCTTTGCAACTTATGCTCTTTAAAAACTGCGCAGGACACTAAGACTTGCAGTGACTTGCATAGGGTCACACAGCTAGTCTGTTAGCGGCAGCCTTAGATCTTCCTGGCTCTCCATCCAGCTCTTCATCAACTGCACCAAAGGTGCCAAACATGGGACTCACAACAGTTCTAAGTGTGGCCCAAACCAGATTAAAATGTAGCTTCTAGCTGACTTTAATGTGTTGATGTGTTAATTAAAAAAAAAAACCAGAAATATATAACCATGTGTGGTTTTCTAAGTCAATTTGCAGCCTGCAAGGGTCCTTATGTTTGATTTAGCGGCGCCTATTTCTGTTTGAGTTTGACACCATTGGACTACACCATGCTTCCACACCCCAGAAAATAATTGATCTTAAAAATACTTAAAATACTGTATATATGTATGTATATGTGTGTGTGTATATATGTGTGTGTGTGTATATATATATATATATATACACACACACACACATATATTAAAGTTGTTGTTCAGTCGTTTCAGTCATGTTCTACTCTAAATGGCCCCACTTTGGGGTTTTCTTGGCAAAGATACTGGGGTGGTTTTTGCCATTTCCTTTGCCAGTTCATTTTACAGATAAGGAAACTGAGGAAAACAAAGTTAAGTGACTTGTACAGGGTCACACAGCTAGTACGTGTCTGAGGTCGGATTTGAACTCAGGTCTTCCTGACTCCAGTCCTGGCACATGGATGCTCAGGGAATTGCTTAAATGCAAAGCAGTTCTGATTTTGGTTTCTATCAATGGAATTTTTTTTGTATATGGAGCAAGGGTTAGATGTAATAGAATGGAGAGAGTAAAATGACCTGCCCCAAGGGACTATAATTGCGCAGAACAAATGAGATATTTGCAAAGTGCTTTACAAACTTTCAAGAGCTACGTAAAGGTGAGCTATTATTACTATGGAGTGATTATATTTATTCTTTTTTATCTTAACTATGAGTGATCTATTAAAAACTGAATGTTGGACATCAGTAGAATCACCTAAAGTATTTGCAATTAAACTAACTGATTTCAAAGAATTAAATCTAATTTTTTTCATCTAATTTATTGCCTACCAACACCCTTTCCCCTTCCAACAGACACCCAGCATAAAAGGGTTGCATTGATCCTTGAACTAAAATAGAATGCTAAGAAGTACTGTTACATTGCTATTATTCTTCTGATGATTTTATGGGAAAGGCAGATTTTAGCAAAGGATAGGTGCAACTTTAGGGGCAGCTAGGTGGTGTGATAATTAGAGAACCTTGCCTGGAGTCAGGAAGACTCATCTTCCTGGGTTCAAATCCAGTTTCAGACACTTTCTAGCTGTGTGACCTTGGCCAATTCACCTAACCCTGTTTGCCTCAGTTTCTTCATCTGTAAAATAAGATGGAAAAGGAAATGGCAAAAAACCACTTCAGTAGTTTTTGCCAAGAAAACCCCAAATGGGGTCATGAAGAGTAGGACATGATTGAAAAACAACTGAACAATGAACGTTTATCCCTACGTTATTGTGAAATTGTAGTCTTTTGATACTTGGGTATATCTAGGATTTCATCAGTCTTGATACCAATTGGAACTCCTCCATGACTTCTCATCATGTTTGATTCTTATCCAGTCCCCCTCTCCCTTTTCCATCTCCTATACCCTAAATACTAAAGTCCCTTTTCTTGATGTTTTAGATTTTGGGAAGTCCATCTCTATTAAAGACCTACTCTGATCTTGGCTCATGGTACAGAGAGCCCTGGCTTCTAGAAGACTAGGCCTTCAGAGTAATAACTCTAGCACATCTCCCCAAGCTGGGAAGGCTACAAAGATAATCCAGCAACAGACTGTACTTGTCATTTAAAGACTAGGCTGGCTACACATAGAATGGCTCCTCACCACCAGGGGGACAGATTATTCTTACTTTTGGTCATATCAATTTATGAAACTGACAAATAATACGGATTACAATAACTTTCGTTTTTATTTCTTTCTCTAGAGCCATCGTTTTTCCGGTAGTTTTTACAATGATTTGAATGGTGTGATGACAATCCAAGCAAAACCCCTTCATCAGAGACATATGCACTTTGCAGACAGGACAGCGTACGTATGGGAAACGACTCAGTCTCAACTCTCCGGTGCCTAAGGCTTTTGGGGATAGGAAGGCTGTGAGGGACACCATTTAGTTATAAACAAATATGCCTAACTTCCTGGCTGAGAGAAACACAGCCTGGGGATTATGAAGTACAGTAAGCATTTGAGTGTGTTTCTTCGTTATTAAGGCCAAAGAGGCATAGAATGTCAGAGCTAGAAGGAACTTGAGGGACCGTTTAATCCAAATCCCTAACTATACAGATAAGGGAAAATGAAATCAGGGAAGTTAGGAGCCTTGCCCAATACTACTCAGCTATTTAGTGATGGTGCCAGAACCCAAACTCAGATTTCTTGACTCATGACTTCATGGAAATTTGTTGGAAAGAACCTTACTGAAATTACCTAGCCGTAGTTCTTAATTTGGAGCCCATGGATAGATCTTAGGGAGTCTGGGAACTTGGATGGTGAAAAATTACATCTTTATTTCGATATAATGAGTTTCCTTTGTAATCTTATATATTTTATGCACCTTAAAACATTTAGAGGAGTCCACAGGCTTAAATGAAAAAGGGGTCCATAGCATTAAAAAAGCTTACTGACCTCAGGTTTAGTCTACCCCAAAATTCAATTCTCTACCTTTCACCTATACTTTGTTACCTCCTAACCTCTATTCTCACCTCTTCTCTTGATCCATATCTACCCTTATGGACTACAGTTTTATAACATAAAATAATAGACCTGTGTCAGGGAAGAATGGGCCAGTAATAGCGGAGGAAATTGATAGCTGACTTTTAGCCTTGGGGGCTAGTTTCCCATGAAACCCATAGCATAAGGAGGAGGTGGGAGAAGTGGAGAAAATGAAGAAGATAATATGGAGGAAATACTCTTTTACTTAACCCTTTGGGTGCTGGGTTGTTTTTTTTTTTGTCTGTTTGTTTGTTTGATTGTAAACAATGAAAAACCTCAGTGCATTTCTACACTGATCTAGTATAGATCTAAATGGGAGCAGTATATAACTTGAGCTTTCTTCCTAGGCATGATCAAGATGACAAATTGCCGGTTGTAGGTTCCAGTGTTCTCTCCTCAACTCGGCATCGGTCGGGGCAAGTCTCAGATTACAGTGTTCTCTCCTCGTCTCGGCCGCTACCTATGTCTGCAAGGAAGACACCTGTCCATAGGAGGCTGCCATCTCTCTCTTCGGAACTGCATCAATCGAAAACCTCCAATGTGCATAGTGATAAAGTTCTCAGGGGCACTAAGCTGTAAGTCTTGTTTCCTTCTTGTTAAACTAAATATTAACTTGAGCAAAGGCATTTTTTTTCCCATCAGGGCTGAGGGGATGTTATCTTGAAGGAGTTGAAATCTTAAGTGACTTCCTTCTGACATTAATTCAGTTAATTCCAATTTTTCCTGTATATATTTTGTTTGTATATTGCTTTTTGCATGTCATTCCCTCCATTAGACTATGAGCTCCTTGAGAACAGGAATTGTTTTGTGCCTTTCTTTGCATCCCTGATATTTAACACAGTGCCTGGCACATAGTAAGTCCTCAGAAAATACTTGTTGATTGTTTTTTGTTCAGTTGTTCGGTCACATCCAACTCTTTGTGACCCCATGGACCATCACACACCAGGCCCTTCCGTCCTCCACTATCTCCCAAAGTCTGTCCAGGCTTATATACGCTGCTTCTATAATACTATCTATCCATTTCATTCTCTGCCATTCCCTTCTTCTTTTGCTTTCACTATTTCCCAGCATCAGAGTCCATTCCAATGAGTCCTGTCTTCTCATTATGTGGCCAAAGTATTTAAGCTTCAGCTTTAGTATTTGTTCTTCCAATGAATAATCAGAGTTAATTTCTTTAAATATTGATTGATTTGATGTCCTTGCCCTCAAAAGTCTTCTCCAGCACCACAATTTGAAGGCATCAATTCTGTGGTGCTCAGCTTTCCTTATACTCCAACTTTCACAGTCATATTTTATTGCTGGAAAAAAAAACTGTAACTTTGACTATATGGACCTTTGTTGGCAAGGTGATATCTCTGATTTTTTGTATGATGTCCGGATTTGCCATAGCTTTCCTTCAAAGGAGCAAGTGTCTTAATTTCATGGCCATAGCCACTGTCTACAGTGATCTTTGAGTCCAAGAATATAAAATCTCACACTGTTTCTATTTTTCTTACCTCTATTTGCCAGGAAATGTGGGGCCAGATGCCATGAGCTTAGCTTTTTTAACCTTAAACTTCAAGCAAGCTTTTACACTCTCCTCTCTTACCCTTATCAAGAGGTTTCTTAATTCTTCTTCACTTTCTGCAATCAGAGAGGAATCAGCAGCATATCTGAAATTATTAATATGTATCCAAGCAACCTTAATTCTGGCTTTTGATTCATCCAGCTTGGCATTTCATATGATGTACTCTGCTTCTAAGATAAATAAATAAATAAATAAATAAAGTGGCAATATACAACCTTGCCATACTCCTTTTCTAATCTTGAACCAATCAGTTGTTACATGTTTGGTTCTAACTGTTGCTTCTTGACCCATGTACAGGTCCTTCCATATGTTTGAGGATTTGCCACAATTTGTTCTGATCCACACAAAGGCTTTAGTGTAATCAATGAAGCAGAAGTAGATGTTTTTTTCTGGAATTCCTTTGCTTTCTCCACAATCCAGCAAATGCTGGCAATTTGGTCTCTAGTTTGTTTGCCTCTTCGAAAAACAGTCTACCCTTCTGTTAATCTCCTTGTTATATTTTACTGAAGACTAGCTTGCAGAATTTTGACTGGTATGTGAAATGAGTACAGTTCTTTGATAATTCAAGCATCCTATGTCATTGCCCTTCTTTAGGATTGGGACATAAACTGACCTTTTCCAATCCAGGGGCCACTGTTGAGCTTTCCAAATTTGATGGCAGATTGAGTGCAACAATTTAACAGTGTCATCTTTTAGGATTTTAAACAGTTCAGCTAGAATTCTATTACTTCCATTAGTCTTATTGCTAACAATGTTTCCTAAGGTCCACTTGACTTTACCCTACAGGATATTTGGCCCCAGGTCAGTAACCACACAATTTTGGTTATCAGTGTATGTTAAGATCTTTCTTGTATAGTTCTTTTGTATATTCTTGCTATCTCTTCTACTTCTGTTAAGTCTTCACCATTTTTGTCTTTTATCATGCCCATTTTTGCATGAAACATTCCTCTGATATCCCCAATTTTTCTGACGAGCTCTCTTATCTTTTTTATTCTATTGTTTTCTTATATTTCTTTGCGCTGTTCATTTAAGATAAACCTTATTTCTTCTTGCTATTCTGTGGAATTCTGCATTTGGTTGAGTATATCTTTCCCTTTCTCCTTTGCCTTTTTCTTTCCTTCTTTCTTTAGCTACTTATAAAGCCTCTTCAGACAGTCATTTTGCCTTCTTGCTCTTCTTTATCTTTGGGAGGGTTTTTGTTGCTGCCTCTAGTACAATATTGTGAACTTCTGGCCATAGATCTACCATATCTAATACCTTAAATCTTTTTGGCACTTCCACTTTATATTCCTAAGGGATATTATTTAGGCCGTATCTATGAGACCTGATGGTTTTCCCTACTTTCCTCCATTTAAGTCAAAATTTTGTAGTAAGAAGCTCATAATCTAAGCCACAGTAAGCTCCATGTCTTGTTCTAACTAACTGTTCAGAGTTCTTCTATCTTTGGCTGTAAAGTATATAATCAATCTGATTTTGGCCCTGTCTATCTGGTGATGTCCATGTATAGAGTCACCTTTTGGGGTGTTGAAAAAGAGTCTTTGCTATAACCAGTGAGTTATCTTGACAAAAGATATTAGTCTCTGTCCTGCCTCATTTTGTACTTCAAGGGCAAACTTGCATGTTATTCCAATTATCTTTTGATGTCCTACTTTAGCATTTAAATCCCCTATGATGAATATGACATTTTTTTGGGGTGTTATTTCTAGAAGCTGTAGATCTTCATAGAACTGAATAACTTTGGCCTCTTTAGCATCAGTGGTTGGAACATAGACTTGTATTACAGTGATGTTGAACAATTTGTCTTGGATTCAAACAGATATCATTCTATCATTTTTGAGATTGTACCTCAGTACTGTTTTTTTCTCATTCTTTTATTGACTACGAGGGCTGCTTCATTTCTGCTAAGGGATTCTTGTCTACAGTAGTATATATAATGATCACTGAATTAAATTCACCCATTCCCAGATATTTAAGTTTATTGACAACCAAGATTTTGAAGTTTAACCTTCTTACCTCCTTTTTGACTACATTCAGCTTACCATGATTCATAGGTCTTGCATTCCAGGTTCCTATGCAATATTTATCTTTACAGCATTGGACTTTCTTTCGTCACCAGACACATCTGGTCTTCACTTTGGTTTTAGCCCAGCTGCTTCCCTCTTTCTGACATTATTTGTAGTTGCCCTGTGCTCTTCCCCAATAATGTATTGCACACCTTCTGACCTTAGGGGCTCATCTTCTGATGTAATATCTTGTAACATTTTAATACTGTCCATTAGGTTTTCTTGGCAGAGATACTGAAGTGGTTTGCCATTTTGTTCCTCAGTAGATAACCTTTTATCAGAACTTTCCACTATGACCTGCTCTTCTTGGGTAACTCTGCATGGTACAGCTCATAGTTTCATTGAGCTGTGCAAACTTCTCCACCATGACAAGGAAGTGATCCATGAGGGCTTGTAGATTAAATGTCTCTAAATCAGGTGTTCTTAATGATTGTGTATGTGCATGTGTGTGTGTGTGTTTGTTATGTACCCCTCAAGAAGTCTGGTGAAACCTATAGACGCCTCATGTTTTTAAATGTATAAAATGAAAAAAAAATAGGATTGCCAAGGAATTCAAAGTCTAGTGAAAAGAATGATGCATTTTTTTTCTCATCCAAGTTCATGGACTCACTGAAATCTAATCATAGATTCCCTGGGGCTTATGGCTTCTAGGGTTATAACTCTTCCTTTAAGTGAGTACTGAACATTTTGAATATTTGACAATTATCATGGAAAAGAACATGGAAACAAACTTGACCTCTTCCAGGATCATAGATCATAGGGTCACAGATTTAGAACTGGAAAGGATCTTTGAAGCCATTGAATCCATTTCCCCTCATGAGGAAATTGAGCCATGGAGAGAGTGAAGTGACTTGTCCAGGATAATACAGTTTTAAGTATCTGAGGCAAGTTTTGAACTTAGGTAACTTAATTTGAAATGGGAAAGTATTTAAGACATAGGTATCTGGGGAAAATACAAGAAAAAATGGATAAAGTAGTTAATATATTTCCCTGATGACCTCTGTTGTACCTTTTTTTTCTTTCAACTTCCCCATTGCTTATAATGGAGTATGTTCATAGCCATCATCAACTCTCCCTTGATATCTGTATGATATTCATTTTCATTTCATCAGAGAAATATATGATAGGAAAAAAAGAGTACTTGTCATGTGATTAGGGAAAAAGATGGATAGTCCCAGTGCCCCAGCGGTGTTTTTGTGATGTCAAGATAAATAGAAGAAGACTTTGATTGGGTGAGTGCATTCTGTAAGCACATGGGAGCACATAGACAAGAATCACCCAGAACGGGCAGGCATGGGCAGGTTACATTCTGTACAGCTGGGGGAAACTCTCAAATTGATTAGTTCACAGATCCATTTGAGAAGTAAGTTAATTAACAATGGGCTTGGGGGACTTAGAGATGGTAAGGAAATTGAATGTTCATCATCTAAAATGACTTTTCTCTTGGTTTCCTATGCCTGCACTTTCTATATATGTTATTTAATATGAATTGTATGCAAAGAGGTTTTCTACCACTTTTCCCCAAATTTCTTTCTGCCAGCCCTCCCTAATGCTTATTTTCTAGAGGATCTTTGAAAAAGATTCAAATTTGTCTAATCACCAATATGTAGGGGGCCGTCTTTCTACAAGGTTTTTCCTTTTTCTTGAGAATATTTCTTTTATGCCTGGCTAATTTGGATTATGTGACAAGTGAATAATAACTTCATAGTTATTCCTTGAACACAGTGGAAGCTTTATCCTGATTTCAGAGCTAAAAGATTATTCTGGAGATAATAAAAACAGAGGCCAATGGAGATTAAGTGACTTGTCCATGGTCACACAGGTAGTAAGTGGAAGAGCTGAGATTTGAACCCCGGACCCTAGACTCCCAGGACCATGCTCTCCTCGGTGCCTTTGCTTATTTTATTTCATTGTTCTGGAATGCCTTCCTTCTTTTCTTTCATTTTTAACCCACATTCTACACATGCTTCACCCCACAATTCAAGGCTTAGCACCTCCATGATGCTGCCCTGACTTGATCGTTTCTTTCCTCTCCAGCAATGGTTCTTAACCTGTAGTCCATAAACTTTATATACATACATACACACCCATACACAAAAACATACACACATTATATATATATGTATATAATGTAAATATATGTGAGTATATATACATATATGTATATTTTTAATATATGTATGACATATAATATATGTAATATATGATATATAAGTATATGTGTGTGTTTCAATGTAATTGCTTTTCTTTTGAATACCATGTATTTTATTTCATACATTTTTTAAACCTTTATTCCATTGATTTTACCAGACTGCCAAAGCAATTGGTGATACAAAAAAATTTCAAAACTCCTGCATGTTAACATGACGTTAACCACACAATTTAGTACTAAATTGCATAATGTCTTCCATTCTCTAAATCTTTCATATGTGGTTAGTCTTGTTGCCCAAATAAATTGCCATTTCTTTGATCCTAAGGGCTGTTATAGGTCCTCTTTATTCCTTTTCAGAGTCCAGCAACACTGAGGACGTAGAGAACACTAAATAAATATTTCATTTAATAGGAGGCCTGGATTCTTTAGTGTTGTGCTCTTTAAAGGCTAGCAAAAGCCTTAACTCTTGTCCTAATAGAGGTCAATAATTTCAAATAGTTATAAAACATATCAATTGATATTTGTTTTTTTTTTAAATAATATTTTGGTTACAAAAGCTGGCTCTTGATAAAGTAGGTCATCTCTTTTAGGGCTGTGTATCTTATGTCTCTATTTCCTCATCACTTCATGCAATGAATTTATTAAGCCCATATTACTATGTGCAAAGCCCTGAATTAAGCATTGGAGATCCGAATAGAAGGTAAGGCAGTCCTTGCTCTCAAGAAACTCATAATCTAGTGGGAGACACAACACATTATAATTCCTTGTATACAGTAGGTACATAATAAATCTTTATTTGTTATGTGACTGGTTTTTACAGGCAAATTGGCTCAGACTGCTTGTCTTCTCCATCCGTGCCTCGAAACAGGCTACCACCCATAATTTCAGAGGCTGGTGAACAGAATGTTGCTTCTCCTGGATCCCGCCAAGCCTTTGTAAGACTTACTTTATTGTATACTAATGAACCTATTAAGAGGCAGCAGGGCATAGAAGAAAACTGGCCATCCTCAGAGTGAGAAGATCTAGGTTTAATTCCAACCTCTGCTGTATTACCTTGGGCAAGTCACCTAATCCTTTAGTGCTCCCAGGCCACTCTACTAAGATACTCTAGGATACAGGTGAACTGCTTGTCTGTGTCAGTGGAATTTATTTCCTCACTGGGAATTCTTTACACTGCTGAAGTCACAAGAACAGATCACCAAAAAAAAGTAGCTATCAACTGAGCACTGGGAAGAATTTAACGCTTATAACAGAAATCAATAACAGAACAGAATGCTATGATGGGCTCTACTTAAAATCATTTCCATGAGCTTTGGTGGGGGGGCACTATATAAATTAATTAAAATTGAATTAAAATTAATTTTATACCATTTTTTAAATGGAAGAAAATACTGGTTTAGGCTAATGGAATCATAGAATTGAGTTAATATGTCTAGGTGTTAAATGAATATTCATTTTTTAAGCTACAGTATAATGTTTTCATTTAATTGGAAGTGGTGTGGTCCAGCAGAAAGAAATTGGTTTTGGAGTAAGAAGACTTGGGTTCGAGGACCTGGGTTCAACTTCCAACTCTGCCACTTAGTACCTGTGTGACCTTGGTCAAATCACTTAACCTCCCTGAACCTCAATTTCCACATCTGTAAAATGGCAGAATTGGGCTAGATAAACTTCCAGCTCTAGATCCTTAATTCTGTGGGCTAGCTTTTCAGTGGAGATATTCAGTGGAGAGGTATTATCTTCATGTAGTCCAGCAGCCTGTTCTGAAAAAACTAGGACTATACATTTAGAACTGGAAGGCACCTCAGGCCATCTAATCCAATCTCCTCGATTTTTCAGATTAGGAAACTGAGGCCCACAGAGGTTCAATGATTTGCTCAAGGGTACATAGTGGCAAGCATCAAAGATGAGATTTAAACTCAGATCCTCTGACCAGGAGCCAGGGATCTTTCCACTGTGGTGCACAATCTGAGGCTGTTGGCTTATAAAACTTCATTTTTTTTTTTCAAATTGTACTCTTAGACTAGTGCTATATTTCTCAAGTACAACCAGCCAATGTCACTTATAATGTTGAAAAAGAGAGCTTGTTTGAGCAGTGACCAGAGGCTTCCAGGACTAGAGAAAAGGGCAGGAGTTTGAAGGTGGAGGGTCATGCTCAGTGAAATATATTATTTCTTGAACATAGACAAGAGTTGCAAGGCTTGTTTGGTTATACTATTATAAATCTATGGCAAGAGATGAGGTGCTGGAAGGAGGTGAGGGAAGGCTACAAAGAAGGAGAAGGAGGAAGAGCCCAACAGAAGACCTGAGTTCAAATCCAGCCTCAGATACTTACTAGCTATGTGAACCTGGGCAAGTCACTTAACTTCTGTGTGCCTCAGTTTACTTATCTGTAAAATGGGGATAATAAAAGCATCTACTTTGTAGGGTTGTCAAAGATCAAATGAGACAATAATAGCAAAGGGCTTAGCTAAGTGCCTGACACGTAGTTAGTGCTATATAAAGTTAGCTATTATTGTTGTTATTCTTCCTAAAATGCTAAGCACCTAACCTGGTTTTGATGTGTATGTTTTTTTTTAAATGAGCTTAAGCATTTTTTTCCCCCAATCTTTGCTGAGGTTGAAGACAGTGGGTGTGGAACACTGCATTCAGTGTTAGACTTTTTCCACATGTTATTTCATCCTAGTAAACTGTTACTCTCCCCTGTCTCCCTTTTAACTTTTATTTTGTTTTACTCTCTTTTGTTTTTATTTTAAAATTTGATTTAAAATTTTAAAAAAATTAAGGACATTAAAGGATGTTTCTCTGAGTGGGAGAAGGGAGAACGTCTATGCTGGGAAATGTAGATGATCTAAAATGAAGTTATCAATAAACAATTCAAAATAAATTAGATTTCCCCTCAAATTCCAAAATTTAAACCATTAAAAACTTAAAGTTCTTTAGCATCTTATCATAGTTAACAGTAATGACTTTATAAGTAAGCCTAGGTGAGAAAAAGACACTTCCCCACATTGCTTTGCAGAAGTTGGGGGGAGGGGTGGGCTATGGGAACAGCACATTGCATATGACATCAGTGGGTTTTAAAAAATATATTGATTAGCTTTGCTGAGCTCATTTTTTTTCCTTCTTCTGTCTCTTTTCTTTGTTGTTGCTGATTTTTTAATTTTTTTTGTTATAGAAGATGGCTCTCTGGAAAGAGAGGAGAAGAAAAGATATGGGGGAAATATTGGTGATATTAAAAGAAAAGATAGTAATAAAAATTTATTTAAAAGACTAAGTAAACTTAGCATTGTGGCTTACATGTCCTATATGCTTAATAATTGATCAAAGTGCCATCAGATCATAGGATTTTGAGTTTTGAGGGGTCTCAGAGAACATATAGTTCAGCCCCTTCATTTTACAGGTGAGGAAACTGAGGCCCAGGGAGATGAAACTTATACAAGTAGTGAGTATTATAGCCAAGAATCAAATCCAGGTTTTCTGACTCCGAGTCCAATTTTATTTCTGCTATCCCACAATGGCTCATGTATTGAGGGTTCAATAAATACTTGTGGAATGAATAAAATGAATTTGTTCAGTTTGCTATGCTAATGATGAAATTTGTTGCAAATTTGGATTTACTCTTTGTTTTTAATTTAAGCGCAGAGGAAGATATTCTCAAAACAGAGTGTTAAGTGCTGTGCCTAGAAATATTGAGAGACCACCTCTCCGGGAAAGGACTGTTATCTCTGAGCAATTTTCAAGGCCTAATACCACTCAGACCTTCAGGGTAGGTTCTGGCTCTCATCAGAGATTCCTTTTTGGAAGAATTTCAAGCATCGTAAACATTTTTTCCCTCTTTTCTCCCAACAGTCTGATACTCCTCACAAAAGGTCGTTGACACCAGTGGAGTTTGTAAACCACACATGGACAGGTCAGGGTTTCTTAACAGGTGAGTAAAGTTTTTTATGAAACTTTATTTTAAATTAATTTAAATTATTTTAACATATTTCAAAATAGTCAGAGTAGTTCTGAATAGTTTAAAAAATTTTGTGTTAGCCTATGGCTACCTGAGAGTCACATTTTTCTATTTTCTTTTTTTAAAATTTTCTCTTCCTTTTTAATCATCTCAAAGCTATTAAAACATAACACAACACTTCCCCTTCCTATCTCCTCCCCTCCTACAAAGAAAATGAAAAATAACACTGGTTGGTTGACTTAAGTGAAACTTCTGGTTAATCTTTTTTTTTTTTAGTTTTCAGCATTTTTAAAAAAATTAATTTATTTTTCATTTTCAGCATTCTCTTTTTTAAGATTTTGAGTTCTAATTCTCCCCTCCATTTCCCTCTCCTCAAGATGGTATGCAATCTGATATAGGATATATATGTGTATATTATAATAATAATATTATATAATGCTATTATATATAATAATGTATGTTATATATAATGCATAATAATATAATAATTATAATAATTCCACATTAGTCATGTTGTGAAAGAAGAATCAGAACAAAAGGGAAAAACCGTGAGAAAGAAAAGAAAACAAACAAGAAAATAGCATGCTTCAATCTGTATTCAAACTCCATCAGTTCTTTCTCTGAATGTAGACAGCGTTTTCCATAATGAGTCTTTTGGAATTATCTTGGATCGTTGTATTGTTGAGAGGAGCTAAATCATTCATAGTTGATCATAGCACGATGTTGCTGTTACTGTGTACAATGTTCTCCTGGTTCTATTCACTTTACTCAGTATCAGTTGATATAAATCTTTTCCAGGTTTTTCTGAAGTCTGCTTGCTCATCATTTCTTATAGCTCAATTGTATTCCATTACATTCATAAACCATAACTTGTTCAGCCATTCCTGAAATGATGGCCATCCCCTTAATTTCCAATTCTTGGCCACCACAAAAGGAGCTGCTAAAAATATTTTTGTACATGTAGGTCCTTTTACCTTTTTGATGAGTCACATTTTTCTGTAGGGCAAGAAGAACCAGTGGCAATTAGTACAAAGGGCCGTTTTATTTTAGGAGCAAAATTGTCCTGTTCAGATATTCTATGCACACCATCTTAGGGTGGAGGAGGGATGAGATGGGGAGAAACTCAAAATCTTGTGGAAGTGAATGTTGAAAACTAAAGGTAAATAAATTAATAAAATTGGAAAAAATAAATAGAGATATTCTAATTGACCTGGTTAATCATTTTCATAAACAGTGAACAACTGCCTCCATTAGTGAAATAACAATCACTCTAATTTTCCTTTGTGACAGGTCTCTTTGATTTTATTGCTTTCCCATCACCACCTATTGAACTAATTCTATGATTTGATAACATGGTATCTGGCTAAAGCTGGAGTTCAAGGCCGTGGGAATTCAGACCCCAGCTCTGTTACTACCTAAATAAGGGGTTGATATTGGACAAATCAAGTAACCTTTCAGGACCTCAGTTTCTTCATCTGTAAAATGAGGGAGTTAGACTAGATGATTTGAGATATCTTCCATATTCTATGGAATATATATATATATATATGTATATGGAGGAGGTGTTTGTTGAATAAAGAACACAACAAATTGGATAAAGGTCTGATTTTGGAGCCAGAAAGACCTGAGTTTAAGCCCTGCTTCTGAAACCTATGGGTTGTATGACCCTGGGTAAGTCACCCAACTTCTTGGTCCCTCAGGCAACTCTGTACCATTATAAGTAGCAGAAAAGATTCTGATCTGAGTTTGTAGAGGGGATTTCCTATCTGGGAGTTCTCTCTGCCAGTGAGATCCCAGAACTAGTCCCTAACCCTATTTGTATGCATATATTGATAGTTAATTAATTTTCTCACCATACCATGCCACTCAGTTGATGGAATCCTATATAGAGTATGGTTATCCCTGTTTTTCCAATGGCTAAACACCTTTAAGTATTAATGCTATTTATATTTAAGCTGTTTATGATGGACATCTTTCTAAAGATGGATCACATAATTTCTGCCTTAATAAATAGATAATAATAAACAGAAACTTCAATATGTAGCTTAATAATAGAGGAGAGTGCAGCTGATGATACAGCGGTTGGGGTGCCAGGCCTAGAATCAGGAAGCCCTGAGTTCACACACTTACTAGCCAGGCAAGTCACTTATCTCTCTTTACCTCAGTTGCCTCAATTGTAAAATGAAGATAATAATAGCACCTACATCACAGGATTGTTGTGAAGAACAAATGTGATAATTGTTGTTCCATCTACATCGAAGGGGTTAGGGGTGCCGTGCCTCTATGATCTGGAAAATCCATGTAAAATATTCTGGCCCTCCCTTCATACCAGAGAAGACATCTGAATTTTTTTCTTTTTCTTTTATAGGGTGTTTACAATACCTTATTGTAAAATTTGGGTTGCTATACATATATTTTATGCATTGAACTTTTTCTTTGTCACCCGTGAGTCTTTGCGTGTCATCTTCGGCTTCTGCAAAACTCCCCCAAAATTTGCATTTTATTTCTTATGCGACCTGTAACATATTGAAACCACGATGGGGAAAGTCATGATGTGGAAGGTATAACTGAATTTGTAAAAAGTGCTTAACGCAGTGCCTAGTGTGTAGTAGGTGCTCTATAAATGCTTATTTCCTTCCTCCTTAATACTCCAAGAATTTATATTTTAATCAATATGGGTAGTTCTTCCACTGATGAAAAGCTCAACAGCCCTGTAAACAACTTGAGAAATAGTCTATGAAATTTGCCGTAGCCCAAAATGTTATCCCACTGAAGCTAACTCGGTGCTGAGCTCTCAAACACTCAGAATACCAATATACAGTGGTGGAGGGAGTTTCCACATTGGAAGTTTCCCACTGTCAAATAGTCAACAAGCATTTATTAAGTGCCTATGATGTGCCAGGCCTGCAATATTATGTGTAGCCATACTGATGAAATTAGAGGTCAGGCCAAAAAAAAGAGAATTCACTATATCATTACATTTCTTCAGTAAAAATGTTAAATTAAATCATGGATTTTGGTGAGAAAAACCAAACACCTCAGTTTACCTCTTTTTTGATATCATTGTCTTTTCTTAGACTTTTCCTTATATTTGTGATTTCAGGTTCACAGCATCTACCTAAATCTTATCAAAGAAATACCTCAACTTCAAGAAGGAGATTTCCAGTGGCTTCCTGATCCAACTTGGCTGGTCAGTCACTGTACTCAGTGAAATCTGCCAACTGTCAACTTACTCTTTATTACTTGAGAAATAACAGCAAGGTATTATGCTATCTTGATGTGTCCCTTTGTCTCCTGGTCCTGGAGACAGGACTCTTGGAGAAAACCAATCATAATAAACATGTCCATTTTTAACTGGAACGTGCCATAACTTTGCATCATCCGTAAGACACAATCCAAACATACACACAGACTTTTGGGGTTTGGGGCATGGGATGCATCTGTATGGTTTCTGCTTCTGATGTTCAAAGATATGACCCATGTAGACTTGGGCAAATCACTTAATCCCTCTGACTGTGATCCAGCATTTTAAAGCTGTTGGTTGACCTCTATTCTAATTCATGTACAAGATTTGTGATTTTAAAAAAGACAACAAACCAGCTTTGTAGTTTTTTATCTGAGTAGACTTACTGTTTTCTCATTGCAGCACAATCCCACTAAAATTTTATAGCATTTCTCTCTTTAAAAAGACTCATCTACCTTTGATGAACCTCAGAGATCTATGACCTCAGTATGCATGCTTTTCCCACCAGTATAAACCAGAAACGTTACCCATTCTAGTAGACAGTCTTTGTGAGTCACTCTGGCCACAGATCTTCATTTCCTGGTGGCCAACTTCCTAGTAAAGAGCCCCTTTGAAATTAGTCACGTAGGTCCTTAGGAGACAGACACAGTTTCTGCCAGCAGATCTATTCTCAAAACCTTTCCAGATTAGAAGAACCTGCCAGAGCTTACTCTCTGATGCATTCAAGAGTTATAAGTTCCTAGCTTATGACTGTGAAACCTCAAAGAAGGACTTCAGTTGTGGCCATGTGTGACATGTGACATGGTTTGAATAAGGCCCTCTTTTTCAAATCCAACATTTTCTGAATTTTTTTAAAAAACAGGTTCAAAACATTGTATCATTTAAAAAAGATGACAGCGGCTAGTTTAAAAAACTAATTTTTTTTACCATTTTTCTTTTCTTCTTACTGTTTACGATGCTATACTTATAACCAGTGAGGTTTTTTTTTTTAATTCTTTTTTTGGTATCACCTTCATTTCCCAGTATATCCATTCTCCCTCCCTTCCCGGAGAGCTATCCCTAATAACTAGGAAGAAAAAAAAGAAGCAAAAAAACCCAAACCCAGCAAAATTTACCAACTCATCAACTAAGTCTGTCATTATATATTCACTTTTGCACGTTTATAGCTCCTCACTTCTGCAAAGAATGAAGGGTATTTTCCTCTTATATCTCTTCTTTGGGACCCAACTTAGTCATGGTCATCTGGCATTCGGTTTGGATGCTTGTTTTTATTATCATTCTGCCCTTGTTACATTGCTGAAGTCATGGCATCTGTTGTTTTCCTGGTTCTGTTTAGTTTATTTTGTGTTAGTTCATAGGTCTCCATGTTTCTATGTTGTGGGCCAGGAAACCAATGGAAGTGGGGAGGTGTAAGTTAATTCCCCACATTTCCACAATATCACCTAAGCCTGTTGTAAGCAAGGAAAGCTGGGGTGCAGACTTGAGGTGGTTTGAGTTCACTTTGCCGCCAGGTGGATTGAGCCAGGACCCACATTTCATCACCTTTCGAGAGAAGAGTACCTATACAAATGTTAGTTTGGATTTAGGCAGAGAGCTCCAGTGACCCCAGGGAACCTTCTTGCCTGCTGCTGTTAATTTCTTTGCTGGTTGCTTTTTTCTTCAGAAACTGCTGTTGAATGACTTTAGAAACTGCTTTTATCTAGGAGTATTGGAATATATTTTAGGAAAAAAGAGTGTTTGTTTGAACCCTGACGCTATGAGTGATCTATTGCATCAGACACAAAACACAACCAGGACATTCTCTGTATCTTTTGTTATCACCATCACTTGTGACATAATATTCCATAATGTTCATGTACCACAGTTTGTTTGTGATTTCACCTTTGATTGGCATCCAATTTGTTTCCAATTTTTTGTTACATATTATAGTATAATAATAGTACTATATATATGCGTGTATATATACACATACACAGATATGCGTGTGTGTGTATTATTGTAAGGCAGGTGTCTGCACTTTAACCCAGTATAGTCATGAGCACCATTAATAATAATAATTATCTATATATGTGTGTGTGTTTGTATGTGTATATAGTATATATGTGTGTATATATGTATGTGTGTATCTATCCATTTACTGTCTATCTACATATGTTAAGCACTGTTAAGCTTAAACCCCAAGGAGGCCACCATGGTCATATAAAGATGGAAATGCCCCATTCCAGGAGCACAGGGAATATACTGACCCTTCCAAACATGTGAGCTGGGGTGAGTAGACAGACTGGTTTTCAGTGGAGAAAGCTGTAAATGATGTGATATTCTCGAGGGAAGTTTAGATTTCTAATAAAGGGAAGTATGTTTGGAATGTTGGATTAAAAGTATCAGAATGAGATCTGGAGAAGATAATTTAAAAATTATTAGACTACTTGAAAACCATGATCAAAAAAAAGAGCCTAGACATCATCTTTCAAGAATTTATCCAGGAAAACTGCCTTGATATTCTAGAACCAGAGGGTAAAATAGAAATTGAAAGAATCTGGTGATCACCTCCTGAAAGAAATCCCAAAATGAAAACTCCCAGGTATATTATAGCCAAATTCCAGAGTTCCCAAGTCAAGGAGAAAATATTGCAAGCAGTCAGAAAGAAACAATTCAAGTATTGTGGAACCACAATTAGGATAGCACAAGATTTAGCAGCTTCTACATTAATGGACCAGAGGGCTTGGAATATGATATTCTGGAGGTTAAAGGAGATAGAATTAAAACCAACAATCACCTACCCAGAAAAACTGAGTTTAATCCATGAGGGAAAAATTGACATTTAATGAGATAGAGGAATTTCATACATTCTTGAGAAAAGACAAGAGCTAAATAGAAAATTTGACTTTTAAATATAAGACTCAAGAGAAGCATGAAAAGGTTAATGGGAAAGAAAAATCATAAGGGACTTATTAAGGTTAAACTGTTTACATTCCCACATGGAAAGATAATATTTGCAACTCATAAGACCTTTCTAATTATTAGGGTAGATAAAAGGGGTGTATATATATATATATATATATATATACATATATATGTGTGTGTGTGTATGTATGTATAGACAGAGGGCACAGTTGTGAGTTGAATATGAAGGGATGATATCTAAAAAATCAAATTAAGGGTAATGTACAAGAGAAAGAGAACGGGGGAGGTAGAATAGAATAAATTATCTCACATAAAAGAGGCAAGAAAAAGCATTTACAATGGAGGGGAAAAGGGGAGAGATGAGGGGGAGTAAGTAAACCTTACTTTCATAAGAACTGGCTCAAAGAGGGAATAACATACACACTCAATTAGCTATGGAAATCTATCTTATCCTATAGGAAAGTAGGAGGGAAAGGGATAAAAGAAGGAGGGGTGATAGAAGGGAGAGTAGATTAGGGGAGGGGGTAATCAGAAACAAACACTTTTGAGGAGGGACAGGGTGAATGGAGAGAATAGAATAAATGGGGGTGGGATAGGATGGAGGGAAATATAGTTAGTCTTTCACAACATGACTATTATGGAAGTGGTTTGCATGACTACACATGCATAACCTATATCGATTTGCTTGCCTTCTGAATGTGGGTGGGTGGGGAGGGAGGAAGGGAAGAATTTGGAACTCTAAGTTTTAAAAACAAATGTTAAAAATTATTTTTTTTACGTGTAACTGGGGAAAAAATAAAATACCAAATTTTAAAAAAAGAAATAGGCAAAAAAATTAAACTATCGGAATGAATGCAATGGATTATTATTGTGTTGGCCCAAATACTAAGTATGAAGAATGCAGAGCCCTAGAGATACTTGAATGAACTGATGCAAAGTAGAGTGAGCAGAACCAAGAAATCAACATCCACAATGACTCCAACAATGTAAATGGCAGCCATCTAGGTGGCACAGTGGATAGAGTACTGAAATCTTCCCTTAGACATCATTAGTTCTGTCATCCTGGGCAAATCACTGACCCTCTCTCAGCTTCTCTTTCCCCATCTGTAAAATGTAGTGATAATAGTAGTTCTTACCTCACATGGCTGTTGAAAGAATTAAATTTTATATATATATATATATATATATATATATAATATATATATATTATATATGACACTTTTGAACCATAATCTCTTTACTACCCCAGTTTCTCTCTCTAGGATCACCAGACTGAGTAAGATAGAAAGAAGGGGCATTAGAACATGTGAAATACAGAAAATACAGAATTGGGGTTCTGGTATAGACATGTATTTAACCAACAGCTGAAGATCCATGTTTTAGCAGGCAAGCTAAGGCCAGGATGTATTTTCCATAGTGAATTCCTGGGGGTGGGTGATGAAAACCAAAGCATTTGGAGAACGTTTATACTTTAATTTTGGTGATGATGTTGACAGCAATGTTTTTAAAAGAAATATGATTCTTAAATTAAGAAACTAATTATCAAAATGAAAGTCTCCTGGGAATTCCCAGGGGCCTCTGACTCAAAAAGACCTGGGTTCAATTCCCGTCTCTGCCACATATCAGATTGTGACCCTGGACAAATACCTTCACCCTTCAGTGGCCCAAGAAACTCTCTACAACAAATTCTTAATCGTTTTTAGAGTGTGTCATTGACCCATCTGGCATTCTGGCAAAACCTATGGACTCCTCAGAATATTGCTTTTAAATAACTGAACAAAATAATAAATTTTACTTGTAGGTTGGTAGAAAAAAAAGAAGGCATAATTTTTACCCATCCAACTTCATAGATCCCCTGAAATCTGCTTGCAGACCTCTTCTTTGGATCCCAGGTCAAGAAACTAGACTTTTAGATTGAAGAGCAATTGCCAATCTTCATTGATAGAAAAATTCCACCCTGGGAACTATATACATGAATGAAATCAGAGGGCCAGAAAAAAAAAACAAATTAGTATACATGGAGACGAAGAGTCTAATTCATAGAAGTTATTGTTGAGATGTTCCCTTGACAATGCCATGTGTGTTACTATAACCTTCTCCCTCTCAGGGAAGCTTAGAGTGCCCTAGATTCTTTCTGTGAGCCCCCCACCCTTTTTCCAAAGTAGCTTGGATATTTTGGAATGAGAAAATGGTGGTATGATTGACTGCCGTG